CATTTTGATACCATTTTTATGCAAATTGACACCCTACAATAAGGACAAAACTGTTGCAAAACTGACTATTTGGGGTTAGCATTTTGGCATTATGTGAAATTTGCTTTTTGGTCAAAACTTGTGGAACAAGTGTGAAGCTTTGGTCAATTGCATTTTGATGCCAAAGATAAGCCATCCTAACCTAAAAATGAATTAACAAAATGTCATACAAATCAAAACCCAAGCTTTGGCATATGGTACCACTTCTTGCCATTTTTCTGCAAGGATTCAAAATTCACAACTCCAAGCCAAGGATCTGACCAAGCCTCTATCCTAACCTAATTTCCAACCTCTACAAATGCAAATCAAGCCTCATAGTATCAGCACACAAGCAAGAGCAGAGAGAACACTTTGAACACAAAACCAAAAACCTCCATTGGAGCTCAAAATCGAATCTCACAATTCCTTCGCTTTCTTTCCAATTTTCTTCCTTAAACATTTTCCATACATCAATACAAACCTACTGTATGCATCAAAGCTCAACTGTAATTACCCAAACACCATAACCAAAACTTCATTTTTCTATTTGGAAGTGGATTTAGATAGAGCATTTGAGAGGCTTTCAATCAAGTCCAAACACACCATTGCACTCCCGAAGGCTCAAGGAAGCTAGAGGAACCTTCATCTCATTGCTGCAAGTGAGTTTGGAGGGGCCACGAGTTCACTCTATTTAGGTCATTTTCTCTTTCTGGTTCTCACACTTAAGAGCATCTTTTCAATTCATTCATGTTACCATTGTGTTTGTTTTGATGTTGTGATTGAAAGCCCTATGGTTTTGTTCATTGATCATTGAAATAGGTCATTTAATTTTGTTTTGAAAAATAAGGTTTTCTCTGGTTTTTGTTCAAATTCTCATGATAGAGTAAAAATAAATGCAAACCATGACCATTTTCAGATTTCTCATGAAATTTTAAAGATAGTATATTTACATTTTCAGATTTCTCATGAAATTTTAAAGAGTATATTTACATTTTCATTTTGGTTCGTTTTTTTTTGCCAAACTCCATTTTTGAGAATTTTAGGATGATGCGAGGAAGAAGATGATATGCGCGCAATTTGTTATTTTTCAAATTTTGTTTTAAAATATATTTTTATTGAGTGAAACTTTAACATGCCACAAGGCCTAGTCCAGTGGTTGAGTGGTTTTGCTGGTGATCTAGAGGGCGCCCTCTCCTTTTCTTTTTATCACCTTTCCCTTCCTCATTTTCTTTTCTTTCCCTTTCTTTTTCTCTTTTCTTTTCATTTATTTATTTTTTTCCTTTTCTTTTATCATTTTTTTTTAACTTTATTAAATATTAGAATATATCTTATTTCATTTTTTTAGTTGTTTGTTTTACTTTTTATTAAAAAATTAAAAATACATTTCATTTATTTTGTTTAAAGATTTAGTTTCATTATTTATATCATATTAAAAAAATTGAAAAAATATTAATTTTCATTAATAATTAAAAATGTAAAAAATATATTAATATAATTTATTATTGTTTTATCATATGCACTTGATATTTATGTTTTATTTATGATTTATTTTTGCCATTCATTCATCATTTTGTAATTTATTTAGTAGTATATTTTATCTTTCATAGCACTTTAATTATTCCCCATTGTAAAAAATGTACCCCCACCTTTGTGTGTAATTGTTTGCTAGTTCACGTTAAGCAGGGTAACTAACTAATTAGATAAAAACAAAACAAAATATTAAAATCAATCTTTCAAAAATCAAAAAGGACTTGGTCAACACCAAGCTTCCATTTTCAAAAATGTTGGTCAACACCAATTGATCACCATTTTAACTTCACCCCATTGAAAAACCCTTTTCAAACTAATTTCTAATTCAACATTAAGCCTTTTTTAAAACACCCAACTTGTAAGTCAATTGCTTCACCCATTGCCATCAACCTTTCCGATCATTTCAAACTCTTTCATAATCATGAATAAGCCTCGATCAATATTGAGTAAATTTTCTCAATCAAACTCAAAAATGCCTAAAATATTCAAACATTTTTATAAACGTAAGATATTGTATCTCAAAATGACGTAAAACATTGCTTCGTCCATAAACTACTTGAGTTGAGATAAGAGGTGTTTCCCACAAATGTTGATTTGTAAATCCATTATGTTGTGATGCAAACGTACGATCCTCACTTGTTTTGGGTAAAACAATATTTTCTGTCGAATGCGACTAAATATCTTTCCCTAAAATCAACCAACAAACAAACATTCTTTAGCCCGAACTACGAAGACTCTGAGTTCATCATTGCACTATGAGGATACATAGGCACAAGATTGCAAAGTCTTGTCGAGCCCCCGTGTAATAAAATCTTTTTCTCTTTTCTTTCCCATTTTAATAACTCAAGAAACCTAACATCTTTTAATAAACACTAACACACACAGTTAACCTAACGGTTCCCGTTGAGTATAACAGACGTGAGGGGGTGCTAATACCTTCCCCTTGCGTAACCGACTCCCGAACTTAAAAATTGGTTGCGATGACCATACCTTATCCTTTCATTTAGGGGTTTTATTCGATATTTTCCCTTTCCCTCTATGGGAATAAATAAAGATCCACAGAGACTCTGTTAAGTCCTTCCCGCGGACGTGCGGTTGCACTTTGCATGACCTTTCTTATTTTTTGAGGTTAGACACCGCCCACGAGAAATGATGTTACGAAGATCTTTCCAAGTCTCGTCAAGAAGACTCAATAAAGTCTCGTCTGAGGTACTCGACTAAGTCCCGTCAGGAAGACTCAACTAAGTCTTGTCAAGAAGATTCAACTAAGTCCCATCAAGAATATTGAACTAATTCTCGCCTGACGAGCTCAACTAAGTGTCGTCTGGAAGACTCAACTAAGTCTCGCCTGAGGGACTTAACTAAGTCTCGTAAGGAAGGCTTAATTAAGTCTCGCTTGAGTGGCTCAACAAAGTCTCGTCAGAAAGAATCAATTAAGTCTCACTTGAAGGACTCAACTAAGTCCCCTCAGGAAGACTCAACTAAGTCTCGCCAAGAAGAGTCAGCTAAATCTCGCTTGAGGGACTCAATTAAGTCTCATCAGAAAGACTCAACTAAGTTTCGTATAAGAGACTCAACTAAGTTTTATCAAGAAGACTGAACTAATTAAGTCTCACATGAGGGATTGAACTAAGTCTCGTAAAAAAGGTTCAAGTAACCTCGTCTAAAAGATTCATCTGAAGTCTCAAAAACTATAGATGAGAGTAAAGTTATAGGTGAAAGTAACGCTTTGACCAGGCTCATGTGGAAAGCTCGAACACGAGTAAGGGGATAAAAGCACTTATGTCTCTATGAGCCATGGTGCTTAAGGGACTGTGAAGTTGTATAATTGGAAAAGATTATCGAGGTGGGGAGAAGGTGTACGCTTCGTCCTTCGTTCTTCCCAAATCACCTTTTTATTGGTTTGAGCATCCCTTTTTCAGATACGTCGCCCATGCCCGTAATGTCCTAGTCCATAACGCGGGATCGTGCGTAAAATATGTATTAGATCAACAAACATGACATAAGAAGTCATGAGATTTATCTACACTCCCTAGATTTAAGAGAATCAACTATCCATTTTCAGAATGGTTGCTACATCCTAAGAAGACTTGGTTTCAGACTCCGAGGACTATAAATCTATCAATATCATGATAAACAAGAAGACGAACAGCAAATGAACACAAACATGCATGAATTTCAAGGGGTAAAAGACTTAGAATTTTAACATTTCAAAGTGGGATTCAAAAAATGTTTTTTACAGGGAAAAACTGAAGCTCACATACATTGCGGAAGTGTTGTATATTTAACCCTAAAATTTATTAATTTGTTGGTTGATACTTATAAAAGTCTTTAAGAAAAAAGTAAATGGAAATGCATATTTATATAAATAACATTAAAGATATATTACATTAAATTTAATTAAAATAAAAAATAAATAAATCAAATTATTTGAAAACCATGCTAAAAATTATTTCACTGGCTCCTTTTTTTTATGACTACTAGCGTCCAGACGGACACACGGACGACCACTCGCGTGCCCGTCTGTCCACTTTTTTAATGCGCATAAAAATATAAACGATATTTTTTATTAAAATAAATTAAAAAAATACAATACGTGGAAGTTAATAATAAAAAATTATGTGAAAATTAAAAATAATAAATTATGTAAAAATTAATAATAAAAAGTTATTAAGTAAATTACACAATAAAATAACGATAAAATAGTTGAAAAATAGAAACATTTATTACTAATTAACAATATGTTGTATTACCATTTGTTATACATATATTTAACAGGAATTTTCATATATCAATACTTATTAATAAAACTAATTAGTTTATATTTAGGAAGAGTTTAAATGTGTTATATAGATAGTATAAAACCATATTATACATACAATCAATTAAAATCTTATATCATTGTCATATGAGCAATTTATAAGTAAAAATGTGATTGAATGAAATACATATATTACTAATTAACAATATAAAATTATATTATACACGATTCATATTCCATTTTTTTCATTTTGAAAAAGTAATAAATGTTCCTATTAATTCAAAATAGCTTTATTCTATTCATTATTTTTTATTTATTTTCAATAGGTACTTATAATTTGGTCAAAGGGAGTATCCAATAATCATTAAAAAATTCATAAAAGGTTACAAAAATATTATTTAATTAATTTAAAATAGACAAAATTAGTAAACTTAACTAGTAAGCATATCAATATTATTATAATATTATAGAACAAAATTTCCTAAATAAAATGTCCTTATTTACTTATTTTCCCGTGTGAATTCATATTTAAGTTTTTAGGGCAAGTGGATTCCAACTCGCCTATCTTATTTTTTTTCTTTATAAATACACTCTCTTAACCATCATTTCCCATAAACCCTTTTTTTCACTATTCATCTCTCAATTTCGTTCTCTCTGTTTTTATCCCCTCTCTTTGTTTCTCTCTGAAACCATGGCGGAGGAAGTTTCATCACAGATGAACTCACTCTCAATATCCGAAACCAAACCATCACCATCTGCAACGATCTCCCTCGTTTCAGCTGACAACATTGTTTTCAAGGTCGAACCTACCGTCGCCAAAGAGATGGAAACCGTCCAATCGTTCATTGACGAAACGGAAGGACAACTTTCAACGATTCCTCTCCCCAACATTTCCAGTCATGACCTCCCCTACATAATCGAATATTGTGAGAAGAGCATCTCCGGAAAGATCACAAAGGAGTTCGAAGCGGAGTTCGTGAAAAAGCTGAACAACGAAGAGGTGAAAGAGCTTTTTCTCGCTGCGAATTATTTAAACATCAGGAAGCTTCTTGATTTTCTAAGCCAGGTTATTGCTGATCGAATTGCGAACAAGAGTGTGGAATATGTGAGAAGGTATTTCGGAATTGAGAACGATTATACGCCGGAAGAAGAGGCTAAGCTTCGTGAAGAACTTGCTTGGACGTTTACTGGAGTTGATCCCGATGATGAAGATGAGAATTAATAGTAGGATTAGGAATTAGGGATTTTTTTTCAACGTTGAAATTAAGAAATTGAAATTACATGTCTAATTTTTGCCTTAACAATATACAATCTGAGATGTTCATGCTTTTGAAATTTAAACATATTTTAAGTCTAAAACGTTTATTGCATTTGTTTCTGAGATTAAACCATTTTAAAGAAAAGGAATTAAATTTTGAGAAAGCCAAGACTTGAATTTAAGTTTAATAAGATGTGAAGCTCTCTTCTTGCCAACTCAACTAAAATACATTTATAACAAATCTATAATATTATGTGAAGTCTAGGGTGAGGGTTAACCCTCACAGATGAAACCTATAAAATATAGGTTAGATTTGATTAAGGGTTGAAAGTCATTATAATTAAAAGTAAAAATATTTGCACAATTCCACACAATATTTTTTCACTATAATTAATTAAATCAATAACTTCTCTATTTATCGTTTATCATTAACCTCTCACTTTAATACAAAACATAGCAAACATAAACAATTGGATGTATATAATACTGAAGTGTATAAATATTCTTATTTTTAACAATCTTCTGGTGATGAATTTACATATTCTGACATACAATTTATGTTCATAGTAGTTGATCTCAAGGTTTTTTTCAAGCAAAACTAAGAATCTTTTTAAAACGATATCTATAAAACTCAATAACATTTAAATTGTCGAACGACAATTCAATAACACTAATCTCTGTGGACACGTTATTGAACTGTCGTTCAAAAATTTAAATGTTATTGAGTTTGGGTTAAAATGGCTTTAAAGTAAATGCGAAAATTTAAAGTAAACGTATAAAAGAATTCATTCTTTGAAAAGGATAGAACTCTCGGGATTGAGTTTCACAAACCCTTATACTTAAACTTACTACCCAGTTGTACTCAACTTACATCATTCGTCAATATTATCACGTACCACTCACAACAAGGTTATTTCTAACACAAAGTTAAGATGTCAACCGTATCACTCGCATCAACAATCTCTCAGTACAACACGAACAACACATAGGCATTAAGAAATGATACCTATGTGAATATTAAACCTAAAGCTATCTCTAGAGTCTAAGCCCAATAAATGTTCATCCTAAACCCATATTTAAACCGTACATTTCTGCTACAACTCAAACTTAAATCAAGAAAGAAATCATCAACATTAATTTGTAAAGAAAGTTTCATACAACACCATGAATAATAAATATACATGTACACAAAACATACTTACAAACAAACCCTAACAAATGGTATTTACAAAGGGGGAAAAATGGAGAAGAAACCAAATTTCTCGCGGTGTCAAACACGATCAACCAAGCTCTTGAATCCGGATCATCCGATTACAAGCAACAAATATTGTTTCCTAAGCTCTAAACTATGGAGAAATGAAGTTTGGATGAGTTGGGACCAAAAATACTCAACCCATCCCTAAAAATTTGTGTTTTTAGTCCTCTTAATGTGTTTTTTTGCCCAGGAAAATTCGTCCGGCGAAGCCCCGGTTTTCCCGGTGAACAAAGGCGGCATATGCTACTACCTCTGGTGCATTTCTGTCTCTTCTGGTTCGCCTCAGCTTCGCCCGACGAGCTTGGGCGAGAGCTGATAGTACAACAAAATCATACACTTGTTTTATTCATAACTTTTGAATCGTAACTCCGTTTGAGGCCCGACCAGAAGGGTCGGAAAGCTTATTCAATGCTCTACATGAATACGAAAAAAATATCCTTGCTTAAATACCTATAAAAATGAGACAAAAACTATTAAACATCAAGAAGCTTCTTGATTTTCTAAGCCAGGTTATTGCTGATCGAATTGCTAACAAGAGTGTGGAATATGTGAGAAGGTATTTCGGAATTGAGAACGATTATACGCCGGAAGAAGAGGCTAAGCTTCGTGAAGAACTTGCTTGGACTTTTACTGGAGTTGATCCCGATGATGAAGATGAGAATTGAAATTAGGATTAGGAATTAGGAATTTTTTTCAATGTTGAAATTAAGAAATTGAAATTACATGTCTAATTTTTGCTCTAATAATATATAATCTGAGTTTGCTTTGGTGTTCCTGTTTAAGAAATTTAAGCATTTGTCAAGTTAAAAAACATTTATTGCTGTTTAGTCCACGATAGTTGTTGATTACACATTATTACCAATTGATTAACTTACGGTTAGAAATAGAATTCATCCAAATGTTTTAAAAACCGGTGAACTGGTGAAACTTACGATTTAAGTTTCAATTGAAACCTACGGTTAAACCGTTTATTAAATAAACTAATAATGTAAAAAAAAATTTCATAGATATGTCTAGGGATGTAAATGGATATCCTGTTAGAACATTGATGTTTCTTATATCTCTATGTTTTGATGATAACTGTCATGGAATTTTGTAGTAAGAAAATATACACTCTAAAATTTGTTCAAAGTATTATTGTTTCAGGTATAAAATTAAATACTCTTAAAGAAGCAAAATATATAATTACAAAGAAACTATGCAAAGCTCTGAAGCATCAGATGCAAGACTATCAGAAGATTTTGAAGCGCTACCAGAAAGATTTGAAGCAGAAGCTACAGAATGATCTGAAGATTTTGAAGCGCTTCCAAAAAGATCTGAAGCAGAAGCTACAGAATGATCTGAAGCCTTAATGAAAGGAGTGTACAAAAGTTGAGGCTTTGACAATCAGACTCTTATCATTAATATTCACGCTCTTAGCACATACTGCTGCATACTCTGATGAAGACTCTAATCAAGATTGAGACTCTGATACATTAAAGATATGATCATCTATCAAGACTCTGAACTTATCATTCATCTTAAGCTCTGATCATCTTAAAGCATTCCATACCTTTTAAGCTTACTACAAGTTCTGAAGTGCAGATTATGAAGACTTCATCTTGAAGGAAGCTTGTTGAAGCTGTAAACTTGATTAGACGTGGTGCTACTTCCAAAGTAACCAACGACTTCTTTGTCCAAAGAAGTGACGTGGTGCAAATCCCAAGGCTTCTACAACCATACCTTTCTGCAGAAAGCATGTCTCTGCCCATACTTTTGGTGATGAAAAGTCATACAATCAAATATTATATTCAGCTGCACATCACTCAAAGCATTTAAAAAAGCTATAAAAGGAGAAATACTTCAACATTTTGAGGTTGCTAATTCACTACTCACCATTTGCTCAATGCTAGATCACTCAAAAAGAAATACACGCTTGATTCATCAAAGAGAAAATCTCACAAGATCTTATTCATTTGATCTTTCATAAAACCATATAGTTTTTGTTGTACTTAATCTTAAGTGTAAACATCACAGTTGTGATACAGCTTATTAGAAGCATTCAAACATTTGTTAGTTTACATTAAATTGTAAGAAGTTCCTTAAGAAGACCAAGGTGTGGTCAGTAGTTCTTGAGAAGACTAAGATGTTAGAACACATATTGGTTCTTAATAATATCTCTATGTTTTGATTATAACTATTATGAAATTTTGTATTTAAGAATTATATACTCTAAAATTTGCTTGATAGTTTTTACTGCAGATAGTAAAGGAATTAACACTCCAGAAACAAATCAGAATTGAACACAAGAAATTAGCTAGACTCTGAAGCGCCAGATGCATTAATTAGAAGATTCCGATTGCTGCCAACAGAAGATTCTGAGCGTAGCCTCTAGAAAATTCTGAAGCAGAAGCTCCAGAAAGATCTGAAGCAGAAGCTCCAGAAGGATCTGAAGCAGTAGCTCCAGAAGAATCTGAAGCAAGTCAGAAGCATCTGAAGCAAAGAAGAATTTTGTATGAAGAGCTTTTCAAAGCATAGTTTCTACAGAAGATTCTGAAAGTACTAAAGCTGCCAGTACTGAAGTTCTGTCTCAAATATGCTCTGATATTTAACACGCTGAAAGCACACCTGCTGCAGAAGACTCTGATTCAGCAAGACTCTAATCATCATCAGAAGACTCTGACCCAATTAGACTCTGATATATTTGTTGAAAACTGAAGAAGAAATATTCAAAGATTATATCCGTTGGAGTAAATCAAACATCTCTTTACTTATTTATGCTAGACACAAGAACACAGACAAAAAGGATTTTTCTGTGCTTTCTTCTTCTAGGAAAGGTCACTTGATGTGAAGACAAAAAAAGGCTCAGACCTTTTGGACACTCTTCTCAACGTGAAGCTCACCTTGGATCAGCTGCCTATAAAAGCAAGACTCCACCAAATTCTTCAGTTGACGTTTTGTTGAAAAGAAATCAAAAACATTCAAGCTCTCATACTTTCATATTCTTTCTAAGAATTTATTTCATTGTACTTAAACTTAAGAGAAATATCACAGTTGTGATAAAAACTTTTTAGAAGCATTCTTACTCTTGTAATAGTTTACATTGATTGTAAAAGATTTCCTTAAGAGGATCCAGTTGGGATCAGTAGCTCTTGAGAAGACTAAGAACAGTTGTTCTTAGGTGTTACTATTGTAATCTATTTGATTAAATATTGGATTAAGTCCTTGATTGAGAAAGGCAAATCACTCTAGGAAGGGTGGACTGGAGTAGTTGAGTTCAACGAACCAGAATAAAAATACTTGAGTTTTTATTCTAAGTTTTAATCTTTCATACTTATTCAACCCCCCTTCTAAGTATTATCTCACCTTTAGTTGGCATCATAGCTCCGGTTCTGTGTGTGCTACCACTTAACAGTGACAGTAAAGATCCAGAGAGAAATACTTTGATATATATTTGGTTGTTACTATGGCTAATAATACAATATCTAACATTAACAACAAATATGAAGAAAGGGACAGAATCAGCACCAAACCCCCTATGTTTGATGAGGAGAAATTTGATTATTGGAAAGACAGAATTGAAAGTTTTTTCCTTGGATATGATGCTGACTTATGGGATCTAGTCATAGATGGATATGTTCGTCCCACAGATGGGAATGGCAAGAAGATAGACAGAAAATCTATGACAGATTCTTAGAAGAAAGATTTTAGAAATCATCACAAGGCCAAA